GGGAGTAATACAAGCAGTCTAAGTAGTGTATAGCGCATGTTTGTACAAAATAAAAGGAACTTTGATCAAACAACGACAAATAGGTTATCAAAGTATTAAAAAATCTCCAGCAGTCAACATGACATGATTCTTTACACGAAGACAAAAAGAAAAGAATTATATTATAACTTAAGCGAATAATAAAGACTACTTGCACCGCAAAAAACGTCTGCCAATGCAAATAAAGACGGTATAGAATTAATTACTTTATAAAATAACTCTTAAAATTACAATATGACCGAATAATAAGTCCTAAGTCATCTTGACACGACACCAACAAGGCAGGTATTATCAGACGTATCTTCTAAAAAACTCCTCAAAGTTTGCAGACAAACGACAAACACTTGGTTGCAGGCCAAAAAAAATTGTCCAAAGAGGAGAACCCAAAGAAAAAAAATTGTAAGAAGTCCAAAAAATTTTATAATGACATGAAAATAAGTGTAATACGATGGGAATACAGGAATGTACGTATGGTTATTGTTAAAAAAGTCTAGCGGAACAAAAAACGAGAAAAAAGTCAAAAAATCATGAATACTATGTCTAAAGACAGTCTAAGATAACAATGCGACCAAGACAAGTAGATATTCCAGACAACCAAATAACTAAAACAAGTAGATATCCTAGACTACCAAATAACCAAGACAAGTAGATATCGTAGACAACCAAATAACTAAGACAAGTAGATATCCAAGACTGCCAAATAACTAAGACAGTAATATATCTAGGACACCAAAATAACTAAGAGAACAAGAAGGGTTGGACAGTAAAATATCTTTAACAACAAAATATATAAGACATAAAGATATGCAAGGCAACGGTTTATATACGACAAAAGGATAACCAAGGTAACAGGATAACTATGACACCAAGCTATTAAAGACGCCATGGTAACCAAGACAGCGATATATCCAAGACAACGGGATATCTCAAACAACAGGAAATCTCAGACACAAGTTACTAAAGACAGCCAGATAGCTAAGAGAGCAAGGTATCCAAGACAACGCAGTATCGATGACAACAAGGTTTTCAAGACAACAATATATCCAAAAAGTGAAATACCTAAGACAACCAAACTTGCACAACAACGTCACTAAGACAACGGAAAAACTGAAACAACCCGATTGCTACGACAATAACATATCTTATACAAACCGACAACCTAGACATCTAGGTAGCCATGACAAATAGATTACTAAGACGACAGGATATATATATATATATATACGACAACCAGATAATTACGAAAAGTAGACAATTAAGGCGATTAGGTAACTATGAAAACCAAGTAACTAAACAGATAAGGTAAGTAGATTAACTCGTATATAAGGCAACGACGTAACTAGAACAACGAGGAGGTGAATACAATACGTGGTTTAAAACAATATAATATCTAAGACAACAAAATGATATCTAAAGCAACAAAATATCCAGGACGACAGCATGAGTAACGCAACAAGATATCTTGGACACACACGAGAATAAGACAACATGGTAACTAAGACAACAGGGTATCGAAGACACAATAGTATCTAAGACAAGTGGATCAATATGAATGTAATTAATCACCATGACTATGATTAATCACCATGACTATGATTAATCACCATGAATAAGACTGATCACCATGACTATGATTAATCCCCATGACTAAGATTAATCATCATGACTAAGATTAATCACCATGACTATGATTAATCATTACGACCGATATTGAACACCACTCAGATCAATATGACCACACAAGTCAATATAACAACACAGATTACTATAGATACAAAGAGAACAGGGAATACCAAATAACAAGACAACAATATTTTAAGGCAACCAATTAAACTTGAAAACTGGATATCTAAGATAATCAGGTAACTCAGACGACCATGTAACCATAAAGATAACATAACCATGACAATCACATCATTATGACAACCAGATCACTAAGACAACAAAATAGTAACCCTGACGAAACATAGAAAAGAATCTCTAAAAATAGCGAAAAATTGTGCGATTTCAAAAATGTATAAGATGCCCCACCTTTGATTGGCAGAAGGCAAGTTACACAGGTTTAAAGTCAAAATTGATGATTTTAAGCAGGGAGTCAATTTTTATTTCACTATTAAAAACAATTTTAGAATAAAAACAAAAAATCCGGCTCCGTTACGCTTTGCGTCTAACACACCGCTTTCGAACGGTACTACTTTCAACTCCGTCCGACATGATTTGATTGGATAAAGCTGCATTGAAAATGGACAATTTTTACGAAATATTTTAAACTCCGCTTTTACTATTTTAGGGTTTTTGAAAAAAAACCATTTTTTTTAAATAATTAAAGTTTTTTGGTATTTCCTGCCCTGTGATTGGATGAAAAATGACAGGCGTAAATGTTGTAGATTTTAGTGAGCATAAAGTAAGACTCTAAGTAAGTTACTGTAGGCGGAAGGGTATTTTCAAGCGTTAATTTCAGAATTATAGCCTAAGTGAGGTCACTATTTTTCTTTTCACTATAATGATTCTCCGGCGTTAATTTAATTAGCTGTTGTTCGTACGCTATAAAGCGCTTTTAATACCAAATACATGCCATAAAGAATGGTGCTCGATAAAATATTAGGCAAATACGATACCCCATATCAAAAAATACACGTACGTGCACCTATTCGAAATATGATTACCTCGGCATATATGGAAAATTTTACAGATTAATGAGCAAGACTACAAGACTCCTTAAAGTTTCAAAGCAAAATATCAAGATTCCGTTCCTAGCCGAAAGAACTTGGGAAAAAGGACGAATAAGACAAAAAGCGAAAAATAATTTTAAAAAGTCGAAAAAATTTTCTAAGGACATGGGAAAACTTTTATTACGTTTAAAGTTATATTCTTTATGTCTACATTTTATTTAAAAAAGTCTAGCCCAAAAAATAAAATGTTTACAAATGAAATAGAGGTAATAACTGAGTAATATGAAGAGATTTATTAGGGAGTATCTCAAAATTAAAAAGTAGCAACATGTTAAGAAAGCGGTAACAGTTAATATGCTTGAATGGAAGAAGATTACGTATACGCCCAACCGTTTTCTGATATTTGTTAAGAACATGATCACTGATTATAAGTCTACTTGTGTAAAGACCATAAAGCATGAAAAGCGATTGAATTTGTTTAAGACCATTTTAACCAATTTTTAACTAAATAAGCGGTCCTATAAACATTTTGGTTAGTTAGTCGGATGAACGTCAACTTAAAAAATAAAGTTTAAGAACATGTATTTAATGACTTGCTTAACAAACGAAGCGTAATACAAAGACTGTAAGTAGTATGTAGCGCATCTATGTACAAAATGTAAGGAAGATTGATTAAAAAACGAGAAAGAAGTAGTCAAACTATTAAGAAAACACAACAGTCGATACGACATGACTATTTCCATGATAATAAGAAGTGAAGGACTATTGTATAACTTAAGAGAACAATAAACCTTACGTAAACTACAACCAACATCAGCAGATGTAAATAGAAGCGGTATAGAATTAAGTACTTTGTATTGTAACAAAAATGACTCAAAAGATCACCTTATCAGCAAATAATAATTGCAAAGTCATCTTGACACGATCCCAACAGGGCAGGCTGTATCAGCCGTATCTTCTAGGAAATTTCTCCAACTGTGTAGAAAACGACAAACAACTGGTCGCAATCCGAAAAAATTGTAAAAAGAGGATAACAAAAAAAAAAATTATAAGAAGTACAAAAAATTTTATACTGACATGAGAACAAGTTTAATAAGTTGCGAGTACCCGAATTAAGGTATGGTTACAGTTAAAAAAAGTCTAGACAAACAAAAAAACGTTAAAGAAGAGAAAAACTCGTGAAATACTATGTCTAAAGAAAGTTTTATGCCATAGCAGACTAATAAATTAGTCAGCCGTCAATTAGGACGCGTGTTAGTCTACTAACGGGAGGGTCTACCTGACTAAAGAGCAGGGCTGACAGAAATTAGAAACAATGAATACTTGAGATACGAAGACAAAAAAATTATCAAAAGTCGAAACAATTTTATAACGTCGAAGAAACACCGTGGATATCTTTCGAGTAGTTTGTAGTATGTAAATAAAGAGAAGAAAGGCTAGTAATACAAAAGTTTAAACAGAATGACAAAAATAACTATAAAATTTACAATATTACCAAATAATAATTCCGAAGTCATCTTAACATGAACACAACAGGGCAAGTAATATTAGACGTATCTTGTAAGAACCTCCTCCAAGTTTGAAGACAAACGACAAAAAATTGGTCGCAAGCCGAAAAAAATAGTGCAGGGAGGATAATTTTAAAAAAAAATTGTAAGAAGTCGAAAAAAATTTATAATGACTTGGGAATTACTTTAATAAGATGAGAATACACGAATGTTCTTATGGGTATTGTTAAAAAAAGTCTAGCCAAACAAAAAACGATAAAAAAGTGAAAAAAAAAGATGAATACTATGTCTGGAGACAGTTTTAGGCAATGTTATCTTAATAAATAAGTCTGCCATTCATTTAGAGGCGTGTAAACGTATTATGAAGAAGATCTACCAGGATAAGGACCACAGCCGAAAGAAATACGAAACAATAAATACTTAAGATAAAAGGACAAAAAAAAATATCAAGAGTCGAAATAATTTTAGAACTTCTAAAAAACACTGTTAATGTCTTCAGGATAGTACTTAGTATGTTCCTTAAGCACAAAAAAAGGCTTGTTATACAAAAGGTTTAAAAGAATAACAAAGTCGTATAATATTGTTATGGGCAATAGTTTCAACGGTTCCAAACTAGAGTGAATATTGATGTTGCAGACTCTACATGACTATAAATAATATTTCAAGGCAACTAAGTTATTGAGGATGAGAAATAGCGGGAAGAAGACAATATTATATCCACAAAATATTGTGGAAAAGTAATAATTTAAAACAACTGCGCATGTAACAGGATTAAATATGAATGAAGTTTAGTCTTCAACGTGGTATTGTAGTTTCTAAGACGACACAGCAAACAAGATACAAAGTAACTAGGACAACAAAGATGTCAATGCAACAGTAATCGAGGCCAATACGATATCATGGATACTTAATCGTCAAGACAACGATGAAGTGAAGACAACCTAGTATGGAAGACAACGGTATCCAAAACAACAAAGAAGTGAAGAGAACCTAGTATGGAAGACAACGGTATCCAAAACAACAAAGAAGCGAAGACAATCCAATATGGAAGGCAACGGTATCCAAAAGAATAAAGAATCGAAGACACCTAATATGGAAAACAACGGTATCCAAGACAACAAAGAAGCGAAGACAATGAAGTATGGAAGACAACAATATCCAAGCCAACAAAAATTCCATACGCCTCTGATAAAGCGGTTGCCTCTGAAAATGCTGTTGCCCATGACAACGCTGTTGCCTCTGACAACGCTGTTGCCTCTGACAACGCTGTTGCCTCTGACAACACTGTTGCCTCTGACAACACTGTTGCCGATGACAACGCTGTTGCCCATGACAACGCTGTTGCCCATGACAACGATGTTGCCGATGACAATGCTGTTGCCGATGACAACGCTGTTGCCCATGACAACGCTGTTGCCCATGACAACGCTGTTGCCCATGACAACGCTGTTGCCCATGACAACGCTGTTGCCCATGACAACGCTGTTGCCCATGACAACGCTGTTGCCCATGACAACGCTGTTGCCCATGACAACGCTGTTGCCCATGACAACGCTGTTGCCCATGACAACGCTGTTGCCCATGACAACGCTGTTGCCCATGACAACGCTGTTGCCCATGACAACGCTGTTGCCCATGACAACGATGTTGCCCATGACAACGCTGTTGCCCATGACAACGCTGTTGCCCATGACAACGCTGTTGCCCATGACAACGCTGTTGCCCATGACAACGCTGTTGCCCATGACAACGCTGTTGCCCATGACAACGCTGTTGCCCATGACAACGCTGTAGCCCATGACAACGCTGTAGCCCATGACAACGCTGTTGCCCATGACAACGCTGTTGCCCATGACAACGCTGTTGCCCATGACAACGCTGTAGCCCATGACAACGCTGTTGCCCATGACAACGCTGTTGCCCATGACAACGCTGTTGCCCATGACAACGCGGTAGCCCATGACAACGCTGTAGCCCATGACAACGCGGTAGCCCATATTAGATTACTAGACAAATGAGATCAGGGTATAAGGGGATAATTGGGGGTTGGGGTTGATGTGTTGCTATGAGAAGAGGGTGTTACCATGGAGAGAGTGGTATGAGGGCTATCTGAAACATGCGTAGATGCGCACAAATCGGAGTGATCAACGAGAGATCACTGTAGAGTAGTTGATAAGTTAGGTGATAAGACAAGAGACAGGGATAGGGTTCTGTAGATGAAGTTAGAGAGAGAAAGATAAGGTGGGATAAGAAGGGGAAGTTTTAGGGATAGGGTTATATTGTGAAGTTAGAGACAGAGAAGTAAAGTAGGATCAGATGGTAAGTTTTAGGGATAGGGTTCTGTTGGTAAGTAAGAGACAAAGTGGAGTAATAAGGGACGTTTTAGGGTTAGGGTTAGGGTTAGGGTTAGGGTTAGGGTTAGGGTTAGGGTTAGGGTTAGGGTTAGGGTTAGGGTTAGGGTTAGGGTTAGGGTTAGGGTTAGGGTTAGGGTTAGGGTTAGGGTTAGGGTTAGGGTTAGGGTTAGGGTTAGGGTTAGGGTTAGG